TACAGTACAAGATGGAGCCGGTTTCAGTTTGGGCGATTGCCGATGGAGGAACATGGTCGTTTGAGTTTTGGATGCATTCAACGATACCTTAAACGACCTTTGCTGGAGCTAGTTACGGGTGATTTTAATCAGATGTCAAGCACAGTTGAAGGTACAAAGCTTGTACACAAGTCCGTCATTCCAAACATTGTCAAACGCCTTTTCGACGTCTAGCAAGGCCATGGCTGTTGTCGTGCATACAGTTTTGTTACTTCGGATGTTATTCATCACCCGTACTAGCTGGTGATAGGTGGAGTGCCCCTTTCTGAATCCAAACTGTTCCGGAAGGAGAATGTTATTTTCCTCGACAAACTTGAGCAAACGATTGAGAATGAGTTTCTCGAACAATTTGCTCAGTGCTGAAAGGAGGCTGATTGGTCTGTAAACTGTAGCTTGAAGGCAATGTTGGATCCTTTCCGGATTTGCGGATTGGTATGATTTTAGATACCTTCCAGATACTTGGAAAGTAGTGCAGTTCCAAGCGTCTGTTGAAGATAGTGGTTAGAAGAGACTGCACTTTCATGCTGAGTTTCTTCAAGATCAAGTTTAATATACCGTCAAACCCGGGAGCCTTCATGTTCTTGGTGCATTTCAGCGCTGAGCAAATCTGTTGTACTGTAATCATATCCACCGGAGGCACGACACAAGGGGAGGCATCTAGGTTTTGAACGCATTGCGCAACCTGATCATCGAGCGGACTTTGGAAAGTCGAGGCAAGCAAATGTGATGAAGCGACATGCTTGCCGATCGCATTTGCCTTCTCCTGTGGGGTCGTCATCATTTTCGACTCTGAGGTGGAACGGGTTTAAGATGAGTTTTTAGGACCTTGGCTACCTTCTAGAATGGTCTTGAGCGGTCGTCCAGATTCTGGACAACACGCCCGAAATTTTCATTTCGGAGTCAGTTCATTCTGGAAGCAATCTGCCTGTTCAAATCGGCCATTTCACGTTTTTTGCCCAGATCTCCAGTCCTCTGAAACTGGCGTTTACGAACATTTCTCAACCGAATCAGTAATTGGATGTGGGAATCAATAGCAACAAACTTACCCCTCACAGGAACTTGTCGAACACACGCCTCGTCAGCCACGGATATGGCCTGTTGGAGTCCTTCCAACGTTCCGGTTCCGCTGGTAGTTCCTCCAAACTTCATGGCGGGCATTCAGGTCGCCCCCAACGATGAATCGGGATGGCGGTCAGTCCGTTGCTTGCGGTACACTGGCGTAGGCAGCAAACAGCGATAAACCGGACGTTTCCAGTTGGTGATTCCACCTCCACACTAACGGCCTCGATGATAGAAGCACCGACGAAATAGAAGTGCGGATGTGGGGCAGAGTGCAGAATTTGACTCCCTTTCTGACGATGACCGCTACAAGGAGCTGGTGCGATCAAGCCGGATAATGTTGTGGTCAGGCAACCAGAAGCTCTCACTGGACTTTTGGTGGGTCTCGGTTAGAAGACCCACGTCGATGCTATGCTTGCGGAGGAAGTCGGCAAGCTCAATCTGCTTAGCTCTTACAGAGCAAGCGTTCCAGGTAGCGATGGCTAGCGGTTTAGACACCATACTGGATGATGAACTTACCGAGCACTTGGATCTGTTCGGGCTTATTGCGGCACGTACGTAGAGCACCGGTCATGTTGATGAAAATCTCCATCAATTCATCCGCTGAGAACAGATCGGGATTATTTCCGGAAGGAGAAAGTTATTTTCCTCGACAAACTTGAGCAAACGATTGAGAATGAGTTTCTCGAACAATTTGCTCAGCGCTGAAAGGAGGCTGATTGGTTTGTAAACTGTAGCTTGAAGGCAATGTTGGATCCTTTCCGGGTTTGCGGATTGGTATGATTTTAGATACCTTCCAGATACTTGGAAAGTAGTGCAGTTCCAAGCGTCTGTTGAAGATAGCGGTTAGAAGAGACTGCACTTTCATGCTGAGTCTCTTCAAGATCAAGTTTAATATACCGTCAAACCCGGGAGCCTTCATGTTCTTGGTGCATTTCAGCGCTGAGCAAATCTGTTGTACTGTACTCATATCCACCGGAGGCACGACACAAGGGGAGGCATCTAGGTTTTGAACGCATTGCGCAACCTGATCATCGAGCGGACTTTGGAAAGTCGAGGCAAGCAAATGTGATGAAGCGACATGCTTGCCGATCGCATTTGCTTTCTCCTGTGGGGTCGTCATCATTTTCGACTCTGAGGTGGAACGGGTTTGGGATGAGTTTTCAGAACCTTGGCTACCTTCTAGAATGGTCTTGAGCGGTCGTCCAGATTCTGGACAACACGCCCGAAATTTTCGTTCGGAGTGAGTCCATTCTGGAAGCAATCTGCCTGTTCAAATCGGCCCTTTCACGTTTTTTGCCCAGATCTCCAGTCCCCTGAAACTGGCGTCTACGAACTTTTCTCAACCGAATCAGTAATTGGGTGTGGGAATCAATAGCAACAAACTTACCCCTCACAGGAACTTGTCGAACACACGCCTCGTCAGCCACGGATATGGCCTGTTGGAGTCCTTCCATCGTTCCGGTTCCGCTGGTAGTTCCTCCAAACTTCATGGCGAGCATTCAGGTCGCCCCCCACGATGAATCGGGATGGCGGTTAGTCCGTTGCTTGCGATACACTGGCGTAGGCATTAAACAGCGATAAACCGGACGTTTCCAGTTGGTGATTCCACCTCCACACTAACGGCCTCGATGATAGAAGCTCCGACGAACCGACGTGAGCAAGGAAATGAACACACGTGAAATTTATATTGTCTTGGTTTGCGTCTTACCTTGTTTGACAGATCTGGTCGCCCGTTTGACAGATCGAATCGCTCATTTGACAAATCGAATTGCGGACAAACGAAACGCTCCAGAGGCATGTCGATTCGTCGGTGATAGAAGTGCGGATGTGGAGCAGAGTGCAGAATTTGACTCCCTTTCTGGCGATGACCGCTACACCCCCCCCCCCCCCTGGAGGTGGTACGATCAAGCCGGATAATGTTGTGGTCAGGCAACCAGAAGCTGTCACTGGACTTTAGGTGGGTCTCGGTTAGAATACCCACGTCGATGCTATGCTTGCGGAGGAAGTCGGCAAGCTCAATCTGCTTAGCTCTTACAGAGCAAGCGTTCCAGGTAGCGATGGCTAGCGGTTTAGACACAATACTGGATGATGAACTTACCGAGCGCTTGGATCTGTTCGGGCTTATTGTGGCACTTACGAAGAGCACCGGACATGTTGACGAAGATTTCCATCAGTTCATCCGCTGAGAACAGATCGGGATTATTTGGTTGAGCTGTTGGTTGTCTCCAGAATCCAGGGGGAGAAAGGAGAGCTTTGTCCAGCAGAAAATCCAGCCGTTTCTTGAGGGGGTGGATCGCACCCTTGAATTCGCTTGTCCATGAAGAGACGGAAAGTCCTCCGCCCTGAAAGCCGGGGCCTTATCCTTCCTTCGTGCTGGTTGATTGTTGGTGGACGCCTGTTTTCGGTACGCTTGAAATCCTCGCGTTTAGGGCACTGCTTGTTGGATCCTTGGTGAGCACCACCACAGTTGGCGCAGTTTAACGCCACGGTTCCATCCGCAGGGCAGTCGGAAGTGGCGTGGTCTTGAGCGCAATTGCCGCAGCGTGGCTTAATGTTGCAGTTGCGGGTGCCGTATCCGAAGTTCAGACACTGTTGGCACTGAGTCACATCGCGATGGCCGCCACGGTATGGCTCCCAGCGGACGATGAGGGAATTGATGGAGCGGATGGCTTTCAGCGCGTTGAGCGTCACCGTACCCTTCTGGAAGTGTACCAGGAAAAGGCGTATCCGGCTTCACATTTTCGTCCTTCCTTGTCATCCGATAGACGGCACTTGGGGCCAGCTTGTACCGGTCCCTGAACTTGTATTCGGTTTTAACGCCCAGCATCGCTAGATCCGCGATGAGCATTTTTCACTACCAATGGAGGTAGCTTCACTTTTGCCGCACTCGGGCCGGCAGAACAACGCTGCAGTTCTAGTGACGAGTGGCTAACATGTAGGACGCGTAAAGTTGCATAACTGCATTCTTGTCCGAGCGAAGGCTCGGTGCCTGGAGTGGATAATTAATGAGCATGGTTCGCATTGATTGGAGTTTTGTTAACTGAGTAGGAATGGTATACCCAAGAAGGTGGCACTCCTATCTCTATTAATAACAAGTAGTCGTAGCGAGCATATGCGCGGGTCCACGCTCTGGGCCCGCTTGGATTGATATGTGATCAACTGATCCAACTGGAGCCCCTGTCGGTCCGAAGAGATACAGTAAGGGCATTGCTCATTGCAGATATTTTGCAAGGACGCACCGATTGCCCTGTTGGACATCAATGTTCAACCCAGAGCCCTACGGAATAATTCAATGCCTGCGCCTGCCCATACAGCAAACTAATTATAGCATATTCAGCGCAATCGGTTTTTTTTTTCAGATACGTTTCAATAGCAATGTTCCTTTCTTTTACGAGATGACTATTGACTTTTTGATGTTAAGTTTATGTACTTTTCATGTTTAGTTTAGGTTACATCATTGTGGTCAATGACGCCTGTTGATGTTTAGTTATAAATAAATAAATAAATAATTATCCTTATTAGAGAGTTGTATAGATTATCTTTGGTTTTTATTAGTTAGATAGGTTCCGATTCAACACATTGTAGTATCATTTTTATACCTGTGATCTTGACTTTTTTACCTAGGGGATGAGCACTTAAGGGGGTTAGATTTTGATAAGTTCTTTAGTGGGAATGACACTGATGAAGACTGCACATTGTAGTCAAAATACGTATCTGTCATGGATACCAAAATTAATTAAGTGGAATTGAATGAAAGATAACCTGTTTTGCTGTTTTATTAAATAAATATAGTTTTCTATTGAATGTTGACCCTATGCCAATGCCGATAATTTCGCTTCAATGTCAGAGGATGTGATATTTCATACTCATTAAATAATCAGTCAACCTTTCGTCATATTTATAATCTCATGCTTGCTCTTCCAAAACAGTCATAAATATATAGTAATCACAAAAATTAAACAACAACCATAGCAGCTTGAAGAAGCCAGTATGCATTAACGTGATACGTCGTTTGATGTATTGTTAGTAAATACAATGATGGTGGATTGTTCCACACAAATATAAATATAGCTATGCGTGTGATCCGCTGCGTTGTGCCAAATCTGGAGTACTTTGAATGCCACTTGATTCTAACAAATTATAATTACACTTTAATTGATACCCCCAAAAGTTTGTAATCTTCTGCTCTGCCGTGAGACATGATATGATATTGATGATAGAGATAATTGCCTTAACTTCTAAATGCAGCTACTTTTTCTTTATCACGATGATACAATTCCCTACGCTTCTTCTACTTGAGCCTTTGTTTGTTATTCTTATATTAGGAAGTACAGTTACGTATTTTTTAATTAAGTGCGCACCTTGGGCATAATTGCGACTCCTCCGCATTGGTAATTAAATTGCGTTGAGTGCCTTCACTCCGGGTAATTTCAGTACCAATCACCTCAGCCTCTCAGATCATGTCGTTCGGCCGCCTCAACATATGCAACCGGTAGTTGCGACAGCGGCGCATCAGGTGGATATCATGTTTGAAGTACCGCAAACAGTGCCACTGGGGAATCTCCCGCATCGACTGGGATGCCTACAAGGTGGGTTGAAGAGAAGAGAGATGAAATTATGCGTTAGTTGACGAGATCTGTCTGCCAATGGCAGGGTCTTCATTTGCTTTTATGCGGCGATGATGGCATTTATCTTCGTCTGTCGGGAACAGTTGTCGTCAGATTTTCGTCCTGTATCGAGGGGAGGTGCAACGGGTGTTGCATATTTTTACGTCAAGATCGAAGCGAAATAAAGTATTACAAAATTGATGACGTGCGGTAGGTGATAAGAGCGTATCAAATTGAGCGAATAAAGGTCGTTCAATGAATCAATCGGCAAGCAAATGTTTGCGGTTATAGGATCAGTGATGCGCGCTGTTAACAATGTCTAGCACTGAATTTCACTTCCGACACTGAAAGCATGATATCAGGCGGTACGGCTTCGACTTTACTATCCATATGAATATCACTAGGGAAAAGCTGAAAATTTTACTTTTATCTCGATTTTTTGTATAACCGTTGCAGGCTGAAAGTCTCTTTAATAAAGTAACCTAACCTAACCCTATAACCGTTGCATTGTTTTAATATTACTGATGAGTTTCCTAAATATCGGCACTCGATTGGCGGGACAAATTTGCGGCTGAACTTTGAATATCAGTGGTCCCTCTACGATGTCAGTGTCATTTGCGCAATGACATCGAGGCGAATAATATTGATATTCTAACAGTGTGAACTGAAACTGATCTCAGCTGGCTGGTGAAATTCAGCATTTTGTAGGTACCTATTGCTATTGATATTTTGCACCACTGAATAGGACATGATCCGAAGTGTTGTATTGCAACAGGTGGCTCTGTTTCAGTACTTTGACTATATCTAGATAGAGCTGGAATTAGAGCCTAACAGCTTTTGTAAACAATGACTTCTATCGATGATTTCTAGAAATTCAAGGCTCGCTCATGCAAACAAACAACCTCATCGGGTAGGGAAAGACTTCCACTATCCGATGGTTATGTTGGTCTGCGTGGGCGTGCCTTGAGTTCGCAGAAATCATCGATAGTCATTGTTTACAAAAGCTGTTACGCCCTTATTCCAGCTCTATCTAGATATGTTTTTAGTATTACTTCTACGTGAAGTCAACGATTTACATAGTTGAAGATACTAATTTCAAATAACAGACTGTAGTGGTAATTTTTATACGATAGATGGAGTAGATGAAATCATAGAGTTGATAGTTCCGTTAGAGTACGGCTGTGTGAAGATTGTATATAGATATTAGAATAGCGAGCTAGGACAACTTTTAAGGAAGGTACAAATCGGTTTTTTCATCTCTCTTTACCAAACTCCCCCTTTGGAGAGGGATGGTGAGGGGTGTCCCCCCCCCCCCACCGCCACCGCTTTTTACACAACAAAACAACATTTTCATACATTTCTTTCGACTTTTACTACCATTCTTCCATGAGCTCGGTAGGTAGGAAGTATCCGAGAGTGATGCGCATGTTTGAGATGGATGCAAACGAATGGGCTGTCGCGTAGTGATGAATAGCAGAAACTCGGTGTGTTGCCTCCTGGGCAGTACTTTGAGCTACTATCTCCTCCTTCAGGAAAATAATATCAGTGAGGATAGACGACATCCTATTGGGTAAATATTTTAAGGTGTCCAGTCATTAGTCCGAATGGTCTCAGGCGAAAGATTTCCAGCTTACGCTGACTTGAATAAATGTTGACGAGCTTCCCTACACATTTCTAGATAGAGCTAGAATTAGGGCGTAATAGCCAATGGCTTCTCTCGTTGATTTCTAGGAATTCAAGGCACGGCGACACAAACCAGCCAATCCATTAGAGTGATGCAAAATTTGAAATTTTCGCTCCACAATACTTAAACGATTCCAAATCGGATCCTGACTAACCTCTCAAAATTTGAACCCATTTGGTGAGAAACTGAGATGGCACAAACCATTTGAAGTTTGTATGGGAATTACTATGGTAAAACCAAGATTTTTGTTCATGTCTATCTAATAATTCACCATATCGGTCTGCTTCAAAAACTTTCAACTGTACTTGTAGGAAATTTTCGCTTGGTACAACTTTGCTCAAGACCACATTTTGATTAAATGCAAGGATCGAAAGTTATCAATGGTTCAATGCGCTGATGTCTTATGATCATGCTCAATCAACTGCTCAGCAGGCAACATTGGCGTTTCTGGGGCGTCGAATAGGACACAAAAAACATGGCTACTATGTCACACTGCAAAATACAGTGTTGCCTACACAGCAGCTGCTTGATCATGTCATAAGTTTACCAATCTCTTAAATAATAAATAACTTTTTCCTGTCACGTTTTACATATACAATCTACAGCAAAGTTATAGCTGAGAAAATTTTCTATAAGAATGGCTATCGAACTGTTTCGCAGCTCAATATGGCTAGACTAGAAGGCAATGAACAAAAAGTTGAGATTTCCCATAGTAATTTACAAGTAAACTTCAAATGGCTTGTGCGAAGTCTGTTTCTAACCAAATGAGTTGTAACTTTGGGAGGCTAATCAGGACCCGATTTGAAACCATTTAAGCACTGTGGAGCGAAAAAGTCAAATTTTGCATCAGTCTAATATCCATCGGGTAGAGGAAGTCTTCCCTAGTCGATGATGTTGTCGATTTGCCCGTGAGAGCCATGACTTTCGAGAAATCATCGAGAGAAGTCATTGTTTACAAAAGCTGTTACGCCATAATTTCAGCTCTATCTAGACTTATGTTTTTAAGATTTTCAACAATAAGATATTTTTTCAGACTAATCGGGCTTGGAAAGCTTGTTGAGAGATCTCGGAGTGCTATTTTTGGTTTATCTGGAATAGAAAAAAAATCATTCCCAGCTCTTCACCGGGTGTCAAAACGCCCCTATCATCTACCCAGATGTGCACGGTCACCGGCCATCCAATGCCTTCGCAGAACGTTATGATTTTTTAGATAACTCGCACAAAAGTTCAAAGATTTTTAAAGATATAGAGAGGCCACCCGAGCTGTGACAGATTGCAATGGAATTTTGTTTGATTTTCGCTTTGGAATTTGCACTTTTCGGTAGCTCTGTTAACTGTCAATACGTATAATCTACCGTTTCAGCCATTCAAAGGCAACGGAAAACTCCAGGGGATTTTGAGAACTAGTTCAGCAATATTCGGGAGCAAGTTGAGAAGCTACAGTTGAACTCGAAGGTCTTTACATGTGCTTGAGGTTCTTTGGATCACCATCCAAGGTCATCTGAATTTTGCAGACATGCGCTTCAGACATGAATTTGCAAATTTTTAGACATTCCTCTGAGTTCTCTCCGAACCTGCCATCGAAGCTCTCGCATTTTTATCCACTGAATTAATCCGTTTAGTCCGCTGGTCTTTCATGACGAAGAGCTTCTGGTCCTGGTTGAGATTATTTGGTCTTATCATCGAAATATTTTCAACTTGCCACGAAGTCGTCTGTACCTGTACCGAGAGGTCCAAGAATCTCTGATCTAGGTTTGGAAGCTTGAAAGGAAGTTTGTTAAGTTTAAAAACTAATTCAGTGAACTGCTAAGTCTACATACTTGCATTCAGGTTCCACAGGTATCAGAGTTTTTTTGCAAACTGTTACCATTTTTTGAAGATGTTGAGGAACGGAGTACTCACTTCCATAGAACCGCTGATTGTTCCTCCAACACTCGAACCTTATCCGTGACCCTGCTGCTGTTTCTCTGTATCATTGAGTTTTGGAATCCTACTAGGGGCATCCCACTCTAAACTTTAGTACTAGCATACATTAAAAATGTTTAAATATCTCATAAGTATTCTTAAGTATTTTAAAGTGTTTTTAATCTTGCATAATTTCCATCGTAGTTACCGGTTTCTAGTGTTCTTGTTTGTTGTTGAAAGCCCCGTCAATTTTATAGTTTTCGTCACATATGAAATGAAATTAATTCTTGTTTTAATCTATTTTAATTGGAATAAAATAATGATAATTGGTATATGTATTTCAATTATGCTTATCTAATAGTGTAAAAAATCGTGTGTTATTCGAATTACTGATGGTTTAGAGTAGAGAGGTTCTAGAACCTCTCTAGTTTTTAGCAGCTTTGCCAGTGCACTATCATGAATTTGGACTCCTTTACAGAGCTGTTCCAGATTCCCAAGCAAATAAGGAACCGTTGATTGACATGGCAGACCCAAGAATGTAACCAAGAGTGTTAGCACAAGCTGTGCAAGTATGGAGAAGAATAAGTTCTTGGCTATGCCTATAAAGGTCAAGGATACCAGGGTTACGCTGCGCATTTGCCTGTCGAACTACGACGATGAAGCGAACCTTTTACAGTAGGAAATTGTACTGATTACAATACGCTTCTCGGGGGACATACATCGGAAACCGGAGTTATTTTAGACTGGTAAAGTAGTTTAATTAGCATTTTGCTAGTAGTCGATGTTTTCATTTGAGCTTAAATTTCCCAGTTTTTTTTAATTGGAACCACTAAGGTGCTGGTGATTGAGGATTTCAAAAACACTAGCATCGTTATCATTCTGATCCGTAATGACAAATAGATTATCCCGGTTTAATCGAAGCGTTTCATGCGAGACTTATACAGCTTAATCGTTCCAGAACGCGACACGTAAAAGAAGTTAATTGGTTGGTTGTTTGTATTTAAAAGTTTGAACAATCGATACTTATTTATTCACATGTCATGTGTTAAATTAAATTGATTAAAATTAAGTTTTACAATCGTTGCTGTTAGCTGATAGAATCAATGAAAAAATGGCACATTGCAGATATGACTTATCAATCATGTCCAGCTCTAATAATGGTTTAGGGTTAACTACCCATTTTTCGGCCTATTAAGCAAAACCCGCACTTAGTCTTTCTTAATCTAGCGTAGCACCAAACGGAATGTTATTATTACTGATGGCTTCCAAATTTATTTACCTTTCCGTACACACTTAGATTATTTTACAGGAGTCAGTAGTTTTTTACTGGGTTTTTGAATTGCTGAAAAAGTCGGTTAAAATTCAAATGACCGTTATCCGTCACTC